TCATTAATCATTTCAATATGTGAATCCATCATTGATTCAAATTTATCTAATTTTGTTTGTAATTCAATTAATTGTTCATGACCACTACCAGCAACCGAACGTAATAATTTATTTTTTGATTCAAGACGTTGATATAATGGTAGAATATCTTTACGTTTAAAATTTAATTCTTCATGTTTTTTATATGATTCACTTATTTCATCGAGTGTTTGTGGACGATCTTTTAAATTTTCAAAACCTTGATCAACAAATGTATCAATTATATTTGCATCACGAATAATTGAACGTTTGAGATAATTTAACATTGAATCATGTAAACGTCGTAATTGATTTTCAATAGTTAATTTAAGAGGATTTATATTAACAACAAAACAATCATAACGTACTTCACTAAAAAAAAGTGGATATTTTTTATAATATATATTAGTAAAATTTTAAGTACTTTGGTAATTTTTCTGCATCCTGTCCACGAATTTTTAATGCTCGAAAATTTCTTTCCCAATCTTCAACATCTTGTAAATTTTTTTCTACTAATTCTTCAATATTAACTTGTCCTAAAACGATCCATTCTTTAAATTGATCTAATCCATGTTCTAATCGTAGAAATAATTCATTTGATGTATAAAAACAAGCAATAATATCGTCACTATGAAGTGACATTATACTTTGAAATATTAAATGTTTACCAGATGATGATACATCACTACAACCTTTAAATGTTAATGGTATTGATAAAAATCTTTTCATTTCACGATAATATGTTGCTTTAATTGCTTCAATACTTGATTGAGCTTGAAGTGAACTTGGCAATTTATACTGAATAGTTTTTTCCCTAAAATAAAAGGAATTTGGATTATAAAAGAACAAAATTTTTTCGTTTTTACCCAAATATAAGATCAATTTTAATATCAGGTAAATTTTCATTTAATGCTTTTAAACCATTTGTATATTGAAGATCAAGTGCTTTATATAATTGTCGATCCCAAAAACTTCGCCATGGTTTCATATTTTTTGCTGAATATCCTTCATTTGTTAATGTATCCATTATTTTACGAATATCTTGAACTTGTTGATGCCATTTATGTGGTTCACGTAATAAATCTGTATTCATTAATGAACAAACTATTTGTTGAATTGTTAAATGATGACGACGTAATTTTAAATTTTCTGTTTTAAGTTTTTCAGCTGTTCCACGAAGTGTTGATATATAACGTGTTAATTGTTCAGGATTATCCCAAGTTATTTGACCACTTGCATCACGTCCAACACCTCGTTCTTTCAAAATCAATAGAAATAAATCAATACACATTTAACAACAAAAAGAATATTCTTACGAGATACTTTTGGATCTTTAACAAGACTTTCAAAAGCTTTTGCTAAATCAAGCATCATTGATTGTTGACTTGGAATCATTTCAGTATCAATTGTATTATAAAAATGAGCGATCTAATACAAACAAAAGTTTATAATTTATCAACGCTTACATTATTTGTAGCTAACTGCGTTAATATGATCCTTAGATTAAATAAATTTGATATCTTAAACTTATACTAATTGAAAGATAATCAAAAGTCAACTATCATCACTCTGATACTACAGAATGAATCTATGTAATTTTAATAGAGGGAGGGGGGTTGAGGTGAATCTAATACTCATACCCAAATCCATTAGTATCTATCCTATTAGTCTTATCATAACCTCATTGACTTTTGTCCATAATCGAAATTTAAAATCGATCAATAGCTAACAGTTCACTATTTTCTTTCTATCAATTATATTTCAAACATACAGCTTGAAGTTCAACTCCATATTGATAAAATTTCTTTCCAATATCAACACATTTATTAATTTTCGATGGAATATCATAACCAAGTGATGATAATTGTCGAACTTCATTAAGTAATGTAACTAATCGATCACCGTAAAGTACACGTAATTTTCCATCACTTGAATTAAGTTCCATTAAACGACCACTTGTTTCAAGACTTAATTCTTGTTTTGGATCATCAATTGCACGGATTGTATCTTGACACCATTCATGAAATTTATCTTTTCGCCAATCAATTAAATCTTGTTTTAATTGTTTTGCTAATGATGAAACACGTGCATAACCTGTTAAATCACCTAATAATTTCTCTCCATCATTAATTATATTATCAACCTTAATAGATAAAAAAAATACAATTTTGAAAACGTTGTTTTTTTATTAATCTACTTTAGTTTCAATTTGTCGACTTGCATCAAGTGAAGCTGCAATAATTGTTCGATTAACTCCTCTTGTAATCGATTTTTTATTTCCACCCATACCTATTCTTCCATTTGTTAAATTATTTAATTCATCTGTTAAACTTCTTATATCACTTTCTAATTGACCTAAAAGTAATTCTCGTTCAGAAGCTAATTCTTTTCGAATTGTTTCACGTTGAATTAAATCACTATAACGTTTGAAATCCACTAACATTTGTTGAGGATTTGAACGTATTCTTTGAAAATGTTCACGTAATTGTTTTGCAACATCACGATCTGTATTTCCCATTAAATTTTCGAATTGATTCGTAGCAAAATACCATTGTGAATCAGTATAAGAATCAATTTGTATAGCATTAAAATTCATAAATGGTGCGAAGACTTTTTTTTCAGATAAATTTTCTTTATTTACCGATGAACTAAAACGCATACTTTGTTCATAAGATGAACGAATACTTATTATTTCATTTAAACGTTTTTTAAATTGAAGTAAATATGTTGGTTTAAATACTTCACCTTTCCATAAATGAGGATTATAATTACGCCAATAAGTACCTGTTAATTGTTCAACAGCAAGTGACCATCGTTCACAAATCGTTATACTATTACGTATATATTCACGATTTTTCATTGAATCTTTGGAATCTAACCATAAATCAATTTTTAGTAATTGTTTTTGTATAGCTTGAACAAATGCATGAGATGTTATTGATAATAAATGTTTCATACGTTGTTCAGGATATTCATCATATTCAACTTGTTTCCATAATTCATCATAAACATCTAAGATCAAAAATATTTGAATTTCAGTAATCTTTTATTTATTTATTTATAATTTTACCTTGTGCTTTATCGATAACATCGAGAAGTTGAACAAAAGATAAACTGAAAAAATAAAAAAATATAAATAGTTAAAAGTTTTTTTTTTTAATATTTACTTTTCAAGTTTATTAAAATCTGCTTTAACTGGGTCGAACAATTCAAGAAAATATTTTGCTCGATCAATATCTTTATCTTTATTTGATGTATCTCTGGCAATATTAGACCAATAATCAATTTCATCTTTCGGATGAAATACATTTCCTATTGATGATTTATTACTTTTTTTGCCTGCTGCACGTAGAACTTGTTCAAGTTCATTTAATGATGTTTGAATTTGTTGATTTGAAGAATTACTTGATTTATCATCACGTATTGCTGGTGTAAAAATAGATTTAACTATATAATAAAGAGAATCTAATGGTGAATCAACCATTGATGATAGAAATATATTTGTATGAACATTTTCTGGTGTTATGATATCAGGTCGAACTTTGAATTGAACAAGACTTTGTGTACCTTCATTGGTTTTAATCTATTTGTCATAGAAGAAAAAATAGCTTATAAATATGATTAGAATAGTTGATGAATTTACTTCATTTGCAAGATCAACAGAATGTTTATGACCACGTGTAGCGGAAAGCAATGGACAATTTGCATCATCAAGAAAATTACCCAATGCACGATGATTATATAAAGATGAAATTGAATCCTGATCAAACCCGAAATAATTAGCAATTGTTGTTAAAACATGAGTCTTTCGTATATCTTCCGGCATGTTTAAAACATTAATTTAAGAAAAAATTAAAATACTATATTTATACTTCTTCCTGCAGCTGATAGTTTTCATAGGAGACGAACGTTTCTTATGGTAACTTAGTTATACCTTAATCCCGTTTACTATAGACTGCTAGTGACATCTATATAAAATTTATAAATATTAAAAAAAAACAATTTCAGATCGTAAATTAAATGATTTTCTAACATAAAATGAATTATTTTCAAATGCAATGATGAACAATTTATAAGTGTTCAAATGAGTCATGGTTGGTCCTAACTAGCTAGAACTAGAATGATTGATTTGAAATGAAATACGTTAATTTGAATAAATCCGGTGAATAATGCCTCGTCAGACTTATAAACATAGTCGTAATACTTCTAATCAAGATTCTCTTCGTTTTGCTGTAAAAGGTAATCAACAAATTACGCAATAACTTTGGTTTGTCTATATATATATATGATTCAGATTTTAGTATTTATGACAATTTACATTCATCAAAAGAT